TAGAAACAGGATAGACGCGGCGGCGATGTGAGTTTGTGGGCTGGCAGTATTTTTTATAAAAGACGAGGTCCATGTGTCTCAATTGGTTGCTTCATTGGTTATCCCATCAAAGAATCTGATATGTGAAAGTGTCTGGCCTTCCTTGAGATTCACTTTTTCTCTGACACAAGGGCACCCGTGGAAATTTGGCGTAGTCGTTAACTTGTCGAGACTACATTTTGAATTGTCACAGTTAGAGTACCTTTGGTTGTGTTGATAAGACCTATGCGTAGTTGAAACTGCAGTCTATCTTGGTTGAGAACACAACCTATTTACCTTAATCGAAATTTGGATGAATGCATCTCATATAATTTACATTGTGTTGGTTTGATCTCGTTTTCGCAACGACGTCGGAGCAACAGGGAGACCTTATGCAGCATGCCTAGTTCTGCGTCTTCTATTATTTATGCTTTCTAATATTGGATCGTTGACTTGATACCTTCCCAGATGCTTCTCAGGTATCGTTTTTGAGGGGCGCTATCGTTAGCACAGAGTTACAACTTGTCAGTAGCAAGTGGAGGCAATTGGCCGGATGAAGTTTCTGTGCATTCGTTTTAGCGTCGCTATTGGCCTCTATTATTTGTCCTACCTTCTAGTGCTGCATCTCTTTCTTTCAACCCAACTTCGTATCGCCCCTTTACCTATTCACATCATTTTGTGTTCTCATTTCCGCCAATCTCGCCAAGTAGTGTGTCGCTTCAAATAGATTTAGCAAAGCCTATCCCTGTTGAGCTTACTTCCATTTCGAGTGAAAGTATTTGGTGAAGAGATTCTAAGGTCGATTCCAACAGAATACAACGGCGAATTCATCTTGACTAGCTGTCGATTGGTTTTAATACAGCATTCATGGTGACGCTGTTTCCGAGGTAATCTCATTCGATTCCGGTAAAAAAGTTCTAAGTTTTCGTCCGTCATATGACGAACCATATCGGAGCAAGGTTTCATCCATACAACCAAATTCAAACTAACTAGTTTGCTTGACTCGTCAGATTGTATTTGACTATATGGATGATACCTTGCTCCAATAATGTTCGTCATATGACGGAAGAAAGTTTAGAACTTTTTCACCGGAATCGAAGGAGATTACCTCGGAAACAGCGTCACCATAAATGTTCCAGTAAAGCCAATCGATAACTTGTCGATAGGAATCAGCCGTCGTTTTCTGGTGGAATTGACCTTCGATTTTCTACCTATCCTCACGATAAATTTTCTTCTGATTTATTTATAATATAAATTTTATCATAGAAATTAAATGTGAACTCCTCATTACAGTAGAGTTCGCTCTTACATCTCTTCTACGCTCTTTCAAAGGTTATCCTGCTTGTATTCATTCCCTGGTTCTCTATTCCATTATTTGGAACTGCTGTCACAGTAGGATGGTGTTCAGCTAAAGAAGTAATCGACACCCACATTAATAGCAGGTGTCTATGTAGGATGGAGTGGAAAGGATTTCAGTTTTTGAGCTATCTTATTCTGTTTTTTCTTTTGGCTACAGATGAAGGTTATGTTTATGATGATTACTAAATCATTAATCGCCTTAATTTACAAAATCCAAGTTGTGATCTACTTTAGTAAATCCTTGCTTGTGTATAAATATACATACACTTGGTTTATTTGTTTTTATGTCTGGCTTGTTACCACTAGTAAAAAGCTGTTTCTATGACAATGGAGAATGTTTTTTAATTATTGGTGTTCGCTTTCACGATTATTATTTTCTATCAGATTGTTTGCTACATTTTTAGGGGTAAAACCTCATTGGGGAAGCTGTGCAAATACATTTAATGCATCAATACAGGGAGGACGCTACTTGACTAGGAATAGTTTTCATTTGGATAATCAATTTAATTTCGGAAGAAATTCTCTCTTTCTCATCTCTATGACCAGCTCAAGTGCAACTGCTTCCTGCTCCAATCTCGCCAGGCAGGTTCAAATTGCGCTTTTCAATAATACCTTCGAAAGCTGCTTCCTCTGGCAAGTCCGACTGGCTTTCTATGGATCAACTCCGTTCTGCAGAGCTCCTTTGTCGGCGTGTTATTGAGCGTGATCTGGAAATCAGCTCATCGGAGTGCTCATTGGCTGAGGCGCAATCGGTTTGTGCGGTTTCTTTTGACCTCCATTTAACTCTGCTCCGCCACTTACAGTGTCTCTTTTAGAGGATATATACGTAAATTTCCATTTTGTATAATAAAAAGGACTTAATAAGATTCAAGTTTCCCCCTGATGATCGGATATACTGGCTCTGGTTGAGCTTATGCCTC